TTGAAATTTTCACATGGTTCAACAAAAAAAGGCACATGCAATATGTATGTGTGTGATATATTTCATTATAAAAATATAAAGGAAAGAAAAAGGCACTGGTTAGGAGTCAGAAAAACCTATATTTGAAGATAACTCCAAACTGGGTTCTAAGATTACACAAGAGGCCCTTTACCCCTATTTCTGTAAAAAATTAGTGTAGACTAGTAGTTAAATGCTGGGGTCTGCAGATGGTAGCCTTAGGTTTAAGTCTCAGCCCTACCACTGATAAACTTCCTTCCCTTGACTCAGTTACTTAATTTATTGCAGCATCGATTTCCTCATCTGTTAAGCAAGGGTAGCGATAGTGCCTTATCTTATACAGTAGTTATGAAATGTATGTAAAAGTATGTATGCATATTAATGCACTGTTATAACTGTAAATCAATAGTTTAGCATAATTCCTGGCACTTTATAAATATCCAATCAATGATAATTGTGTCACTCGATCCCATTCTCTTCTGCCACATTTCTTCAGAGGGTTTCAGGAAAGCACAGGTGAAGAGTGGTGTCAATAGGTTTGGAAAAAGCACAAGATTTCATGCAAGTCCTCTATCACAATTCCTGTCCTTTTGCACACCCACATCTGTCCACCTGGAATTGCTCATGGCAAAACCAACCTTGAGGACTTTACAAGCAACATAGCTGACACCTTCCACACACTCTCAGATGCGAATAGAACTTGAGTTTCTCAACTGGCAATTAAACACTACACTCTTCCTAACCCCAGTCTCCTAGTGAAAACTTGAACTCCTTGAACTAAAGGAAACAAGGCCTTTCAAAAAGCACCTAAGGGTCAACCCACCCCAACCCCCATGGTTCACAGATAAAGATGAGGCAGATTCAGACGAGATCCCCAGGGTACCAGGGGCAGCAGCTCAGTATTTTCATGGCCCCCTCTTCTGACAGCTGCGGGTTGCTCAGACCAAAGGGGCCTTCTGTCTCCACCAGGGTTGGCCAAAGGCTTGGTTTTTCTGTTACAAAACTCCTTTTTAAATAAAATTCAGAGTTATACAAACTATCTCTGTATAGAACTTTAGAAAATACATAGGAAGTGAGCGGTACCTGTGGTGGGGATAAAAATGGCCCGTGTCAACAGTCCCCTCCCTAGTCCTAAGCCACCCCACCCCACTACCATTAGTAAAAGGCACAAAAGTGTGCAAACCAGTTTAAATTTAGGACAAGAAAAAAGCTTAAAATCCCCAGCTGATCTTACATTCAGCCTCGGCAAGCTTAGTTTAAAAACAAAATGAAACTAAAAACCCCAGAGAGGTGGGAAGAAGGCAAGTTACATAAAAACATACACACACGTTGGGGAGTGAGGCTGGCCAAATTAGAAATATGTAGCAAGAAATCCCATCACTATGTACAACTATAATAGTGCAGCAATAAAAAAATATATAGAAAGAAAAAAATGTACACATAGCATATCAGGTGAACTTCAGTTGGCTGGTACCATTGGGTGAATTAAAAGAATGCAGCAAAGCTTCCCAAAATCAAAACAAAGTACCCAGATGCATTATTCCTAAAAACTCCTAAGATTCCCTTAGCCAGGATGTCACAGATGTTTGGGTCTAATCTTTGAGCCACTGTTTTGTTGGTTTAACCCTTAGTTGGTCTTGAAGTGGGTGGACAGCTAGCATCTCACTGGGGGGTTCTTCTCCCTGCCGAGGAGAGTATAAGCCACCTGAAAACTTAAAGTCTAAAATAATCAGTGTAGAACAAAATACAAAGAGTCAGAAACATATTTACAAAAGCGGAGCCCCTGATACATCTAGTCCACACAAGAGCTGGAATTAGACAAAAGAAAGACGGCTCCGATGGTTTATTTAAGGAAGGGATAGATAAGGTTTATTCAAGGCAGGGATAAGGTTTCAAGGGCAGAGTCTTGATTTGTGATGTCTTGTAGTCAGCAGGTTGATTGGCATCTTGGCAGGTCACGCCCATCTCAGGTGCTGTGGGACACGGACGATCAGGATAGAAATTCACAATGTCCCTGGGCAATTGACCTGAGAAAATGTCCAGGGGTCATTCCCAGATACCGGATGTTTCTATCTACTAGGCTTCGATGCACGGTGACCCCACGGTGACTCATGGACAGCTCGTGACAGTTGGTGTAAAAAACTATGTCTGGCAAACCCCACCATAAATGGTAGCCAGATATGATTCCAGAAACTCAAAAGAAATAAGATATTAATTTTAAAAATCAGAAATAAAAAAAAATACTAACATAGAGACTGGAGATACAGTTCAGTGGTAGAGACCAGCATAAGGCCTTGGGTTTGATCCCTGGCACCACAAAAGAAAAAAAAAAACTGAGTATAGAAATTACTCTTTCCTCACTTAATTTACATTATTTTTTTTGCCCAGAGGAGGCCCTTTTCAAGTTGTTTGTCTAAGGATGTGTGACTATTTTTATAGTGTCTAGACTAGTTCTTGATAATTACTTATTTTATGTAGTGCTGCTAATAAAACCCAGAAAGTGTGGACTGACAGTTAAAAATAATAATAAAAAAAAAATGACGGTGATTTTGTTACTGTTGAGTTTCCTTATGAGGACCACCTGCAAAGGTGACCAGGGTGGAATACTGTCTGGATCCTTCTCTACCCTAGACCTTGTATGAAAAAGGCTGTCCAACTGCACTGGCCAAAACCCACTTTGGTCTAGTTCCATGGTTACTCACAAAGAGCATCTCCAACGTTTAAAAACTGAATAAAGATTATGATCCAACAACAGATGTAGTAGCTTATTTTTATGATTTGGATTTGGACTGTGTTCAGTGGTGGGATTTGGGGGAAATGATTGGATCATGAGGCTTTGCTCTCACTAGTAGATTAGTTCATTGATGGCTGAGGACCTAGTTGGGGAAAATAGGTCATGGAGTGGGGATGGGGTGCCCTGGAAAGGTTTATAGCCCCTTCTTTTCTCCATTCCCCCTCCCCTCCCTCTCTCTCTCCTTTCTGCTTCTTAACTGTCATGAGCTGAACAGCTTTCTTCCGCCACAATCTTTCACCATGATGTTCTGCTCTCCCCAGACCCAGAGCAACGGAGTCAGTTGACCATGGACTAAAACCATGATCCAAACTGAACTTTTCCTCCTCTAAGTTGTTCTTGTCAGGTATTTTGGTCACCATGATGAAAAGCTAACTTACACTCACATAAGAAGATTCTTATTTGTCTATTAAATCTTGGGGATTCCAGACTTGGATAGTGGTAGTGACACTAAAATTGAGATGTTTCCCCATTATCATCTGATAAGAATTTGCTGAGCTTGGAGGAGCATGTTGTAAGGATGGGGATGCGGTAAAACCTAACGCTCACTCTCCCCTGGCCAGCCTCAGGGATTCCACAGCTGCCTGCACTATTAGTTTGGCTTGGTCACTAACTTGTAGAGGTTGAGGGGCCATAATGATAGTTGAGTTTTTTTAACCATTAAGTATTAAATAAAACACCAACACTTCCAGCTGTCCTGTCTGTGACCCATTTCTCCCAGGTGGAGCTTATGATATTGAATTATTACATAATAGACCTGTTGAGGTTCTTACCCCTTAGGGAAAAAAAGAAGTTTTTCTTAAAGGAAAGTCATGCTTCAAGGGAAGTAAGTAGAAAGTTTCGAGTCCACTGTTGGGCCAGAACGGAGATTCCCGTGGATAAGTCAAATGGAGACAGAGATGCAACTGGGAGCAGAGGTAGCAGGAGTCAGGGAACATAGCTCACCTAGAGAGTCTCCCTAAACCTGGGTCAGCAGATTTCTTTACAACAAATGATTGAAAATTATGTTACAGATTGAATAAAATAACAAGAAAGTGCTTAGAAATTTAAAATTCAATTAGCTTGATTGTTTTAAGAACATATTTGGATCTCTTAGCAAAGTTAGCAGCACTACCTAGAATCACATAATTTATTTTTAAATATTTTGGATAAATAAAGAATACAGGATGATAAAAATATCTATGTATTCAGTTCCTATTTTGATAAATAAAAATTACCATAGAATTGTTTTTTCTTAGAAATTTTTGGGCATATATTTTAAGATCAGCAAAATATGGCTGAAACCTTTGTGATCACTCTTCAAGAGCTTTCCTTTGCCCAGATACAACCCTGAATTTGGTGCTTATTATTCCCAGGCATTTTTAAATACTTTGACTAAGTTTGTTTTCTTAGATCTTTTTAAAGGTATTATGTTGCATGTTTTTAAGTTTTAAAGTGGCATATTATATGTATTCTTTCATAATGTGTTTTTTTGCTCAACATTATGTTCAGAAATTTCATTCATTTTGATTCATGTCTCTGTGATCAGTTTTCACTGCTGTATAGTATCCCATTATAGGGTAACCACAATGATGGTATATAAGTTCAGTTTCTTGTTATGTGGTTTTGCTTTGCATTCTTTGTTCAAAAGAAAGGGGAAATATATATGTCTCCATGTGCACTTGTTTTTCTGCAGGGCCTCTGCCTAAGAGTGTAATTTCAGGGTTATCAAGAGAAAAGTCTCCTCAATATTACCAGATATAATCAAATCATTTTCCAAATGATTAAAACAATTCTCATTCCCATTGCCTCACCTCCTCAGCACCTGATATTGTCGGGCTTCCATTTTTGCCAATCTAATGGATGTGAAATGACTTCTCATTGTGGTTTTAATTTGTATTTCTCGGATCTTTTAATGGTTTACAGAGCATTCGGGTTTTTCTCTTTGTGAATTAACTGTCATCTCTTCAGCCCAATTTTTAACTGAGTTAAAAATTTTAACTGTCTTTTTTCTTTCAATTTATGAGAGCTACAAATATAGATCCTTTATAATACTGCAAGTAGATGCGTTACAAATATCTTCTTTCAACGCATGACAGCATTTTTACTATTTTTATGAACTTTTTTAGATAGATAAGAGTCTTTATTTTAATATAGTTAAATTTATCAGTTTTACCTCTTATCTTTTGTCCTTTTTTATGTCATGGCACAAGGTATAGAGCAATGTCAATCAATGCTACCATTTGTATAAAAGATGGGCAGGGGAAGAAGAAATAATTATACTTTTGAACATTTAAATGAAATTTCAAAGGATTCACGGGACACTTTTAACTGTGGATATTAATGGTGGAGGGTGTGGCGGAGGGTGGTGATGCAAGGCTTATACAAGAGCAGAACTGGGTGAAAGGAGACAAATTGCAATCTATTTAGGACCTTCTTTTCAACAAATGGGCCATTAGTGCTGTCCTATAGGAATTTAGTTCGCCAGTTGTTGTAGAATGAAACTTATTTGAAACAAGTCTGGGAAGTTTGGGGATTTTTATAGTCAGGCTTAGAGTAGAAGTTCTGCCAGCCCTCTTTAGTCTCAGGCTCGCATTAGGAGCTTCCAGTAAGTTTTTCATGGATCTGAAACACAAAGAAAATATGGGTTGGTTGGTAGTCTCAGTATGTAAGGAAAAACATATTCATGACAGGTAGCTGTTAAATGGGTAGAGGTGATACATCCTTATTGTGAGAGGCATGGATCTAAAAACAGAGACCTTATTAACAGCTCAACTCGACTGGCCCCTTCTCAAAAAGTTCAAGCAGTTTCTTACGGGAATGAACTTGATTGGAGCCCAGGGACTCAGGGCTTCTTGAACCTGTGAATGAATTGCCCTTAATGCTCTATCACAACTTAACAAGGCTTTATCCATTACATGGATGTTGTGCCAGTGCATGGACTTTAGTCACCGGACATCTCAGCGCCTGCTCATTGACATTTCATAAGAGTGCAAGCCTTTTATTTTCAATAGTGTTCACAATCATTAGATTTATGGACAGGCTATTGTGCTTTGGATAAAGAAACCGCCGCGACTCTTTCAGCAATTTATTCTTTTAAGATCTACATTGAGGGCTGGGGATGTGGCTCAAGCGGTATCGCGCTTGCTTGGCGTGCGTGCGGCCCGGGTTCGATCCTCAGCACCACATACAAACAAAGATGTTGTGTCTGCCGAAAACTAAAAACTAAATATTAAGGTTCTCTCTCTCTCTCTCTCTCTCTCTCTCTCTCTCTCTCTCTCTCTCTCTTTAAAAAAAAAAAAAAAGATCTACATGGATATGTTATTGCCCTTCTTTAATTCTAGAAGAAATTCAAGACAGTGAGAGCATTGGCAAATCTTGAGGTTTTCAGATTTTATGATCTGTCTTACGAAACGTGGGCCCTTATTACTCGAAATAAGCAAGGTTATCATAAACTGGCAGTATATATTTTAGAAATCATTTGCTGGCTACCACTGGTCATCATTCCTTACTTAGGAACATGCTCTATAAAAAGCGTATAAAGGCTAAAGATATATATACAGTCCCCAAAGCTTTTGCAGGTGAGAAACACTTCATTGGTATGAAAAACAACCCAAGTATTCATCAAAGCTCCTACTAGGGACAAGGAACTGCCTTTCTTCCCTTGAGGCTTGATAGCAGGGGTTTGGTTTGGGTCTTTAATGTCACTCCAAAAGCTCATATTTTAGGCAATGCAGGAGTGTTCAGAAGAAAGATGACTCAATTATGAGGGCCATTACCTCATTGATGAATTAACCCATTTGATGGATTAATAATTTTAATGGACTAATGAATGGAAACTGCAGGCAGGGAGAGTGTGGTTGAAGGAAACAGGTCGCTGGAAATGTCCCCTTGGACTATATCGGTCCCTGATTCCTCTTGCTCACTGTGTTTCTCTCTCTGCTTTCTGGCTTCCAAGAGCTGAGTGGCTTTCTTCCATCATGGCATTCGACCATGACGCTCTGCCTCATCCTGGGCCCACAGCAATGAAGCCTGCCGACCGTAAACTAAACTTCTCACACCCTCAGCCCCAATGAATTTTGAAAAAACTACGGGTACATGGAGCCAGCCAGCACATGCCTAATAATTCCATTCTTTGTTCACGTACGCCACGTGACAAACTACCTCTGCTTAATGCCGTCAAACCTCCCTCCTAGAGCCCCACAGACAATCTGGGTGAAAAAAAAAAAAACTCTAAAAACCAAAAATTAAGAAGAAGGGAGGTGGGGGAGGGAGAAGAGGAAGAGGAAGAGGAAGAGGAAGAATGAAATAAGAAAAACAATCAAGCAAACCATATCTAACCTCACCTATTGGTCTCCAAAAGTTGTGAAAGTGAAATCTGGGTTCTGAAGAAGAAAAAAACGTTTAATAGAATTTCCAGGGGAATATAGTGAATTGACAAAGATCCAGACAAAGACACCTGTGAACAGAAAATGCCCTCCATCTTGGCTGTGTCATTAACCAAATCAACCATTTCATAACAACTACAACAGGAATAATCTTGAGAAATACTCCTACTTCCAGAAGTGAGAAATCCTATTTTTACAATCAATAGAGTACCCCCAAGGTATAACCAGCATCAGTTTAAAGGTTAATTTTGAGAAAAAGTACCCACTCTCACAGGGCCATGTTTTGTCACCTGGGCAGAATATATGGAAACAAAAACATTTTTTTTTTTTTTTAGGCTTAAGGTTCTGTCAAGGGACCTTCTTTTATTTTTGTTCCACTTCAATGAGTTGAGAAGTATGTGACCATATAAAGCAGATGTGTGCACTCGATGTTAGCCCAGGCCCTAAAAACAAGTGGGAAACTTCTATTTCTAACATTGGGTGTTGAAACAGTAACTGAATTTCTTCTTTCCCCCAATCTAACCATGCTTTTACATAGTTTCTTCTTAGATTTTAATTGGACTCCTTGGCATTGTTAAGAACATAGTGGTTAAGCTTATGGAATTCAGAGACAAAAAGACTTAGTTTACTGACTCCTATCTTTGCCAATGGTCCACCAAGAAATCCTCAGGAAATCACTTCACTATTTGAGCCTACATTTCTTCAACTTATTTTCTAAATTTATAATAGTATCATTCAGAAAAGGTTTGAGGGTTAAATGAAGATTTTAGTTGAGTGTTAAAAATTATTACAGTGCCCAACACCTAATAAATTGCTCAAATTTTGTTTATGCATTCATTCAACAAGCATTTCTTTAGAGCTCCCTACTATGTGCTAGTCCGTTTTCTAGATGCTGGTCAGAATAATTAGAGCTGGCCTTTAGATAGCACTGGGAAGCAACACTGACAGAATACAATGTAAACTATGGGCACATGAGCAGTGAACATTCTCAGGAGCTACTATCTCTCTTTCAAGCAGGTTTTTTTTTGTTGTTTGTTTGTTTTTTGTTTTTGTTTGTTTGTTTTTTAGCAATAGGACTGTTTGAACAGGGCTAACCCAAGAACTTTGCTATACTAGTATGAGAAGGACATTCCATTAATGACAAGCTTCCCATTCTCAGTCTTGAGTGTGCCGTTCAACTTGCTATGGGTGAAATGATACTGGAACAAGTGAGTCCTGTAACTGGGGTCAACAAAGGGGTCATTGATGGCAAACAATAAACAATACTCACTTTGCTGGTGTTGGGTGACCAGGTGCCCAATACAGCCAAATCCAAAGGTCTCCAACCTTCACCATCATGTCTCAGGGACACAGTTGGCACTGCATGAGAAGATGCCGCTGTCTATCAGAGAGCAGTGGATAGCCACTTGGTACTTTGCCTTACATAATTTCTACCCCTTTGCAGAAGAAAGATCACTGAATCTAGCCAAAAAAGATGATAGACACTGAATCTTTAAGATTTGCTGCACCGCAACATATAATTATATAATCTTTCATGCTCTTGCGTTATCTTATCTCAAATGTTCATCTCCCTTGTCAAACGAAATGGCCAGAGTATTTCAATTCTGGTTGTAATCTCCCTAAGGCCCACTCTGAGACCAATACCACCACCACCACCACCACCAATGGCATCTCAGAGCACTCCCACTTCCACGGTCCAGCCACCCAAGAATTTTTTACTACCTCTCAGTGAGCACAGACTGTATAACCAGAGGCAAATCTTCATTTCTGCTAGCCACACAGCCTCTGACTTCAATTTTTTTTCCCTCACTTTTGTACCAGTGATTGAACCCAGGGGCACTTAACCACTGAAGCTATATCCTCAGCCCATTTTACTTTTTATTTTGAGACAGGGTCTCACTAAGTTGCTTAGAGATTCACTAAATTGCTGACCTTGAACTTGCCATCCTCCTGCCTCAGCCTCCCTAGTCACTGGGATTACAGGTGTGCACCATCATGCCCAGCACAGTTCTTTTTTTTTTTTTTTTAACTCAATATGTCTTAGTATGACATTTTCGTTGTTGGATAGTCAAAACAGTATTTTAAATAACAATAGCTATATAGACCTTTAAAATTCTCACTTAAAAACCATGATCTCATCATGTAATTTATAAGAAAATGTTTATAATGCCCTGATTTTTATTATCTTAATGTTAGTAAAAATTGCAGCAGCAGAATATGCTTACACCGACACAGAGCTTACAAACACACCTAAGCACTGTGTGGTAACTCAGTACTATATTTTTTCATCTCTCTTGATTTTAATTTCTTTAAAAGTTGCCAGATAAATATTTATTAATTAAACATTGTATTACACATTCACACTATATTAAATTGAATATTAACTCCATATTATAGCTAAAGTCAATCAAGAAGCTTAGAAAATATAGTTAAGTGACTATTCAGATGTAATACAATAACTTAATATTTTAAAAATTATCAGAAACCAATAATGCCTTAAAACTTCACATAGGTAGTATAAATGGATTAACTCTATAGGCCCACATAATGTGCAATATCATCTAAGCTTTATTTAAAAGAACTAATTTATACAGATCTACCACTTTTAAATTATAACTCAATGTACTTACATACATCTAGGCTTAAATTTAAATTTACATACTTTAAAATAATAAAATAGGAAATAATTACTTACTTGACCTACAAGGTAAGTGAAGGAAATTTAGATAGTTCCACATATCTAAATTGTTGTTGAAGTACAAATACAAAGTTTTGAATTAATTAATATGCCATGTTTGCATTCTTATTTCACACTGTAGCAAAGGTTCAAGTTCTTTTGTTTTTAACTCAATATGTCTTAGTATGACATTGCATTGTTTGATGGTCAAAACAGTATTTTAAATAAGAACTATTTAAACCTTTAAAATCCTCACTTATAAATCATGATCTTACCAAGTAATTTACCTAAGGGGTGTCTGACAGCCAGCATCTGGTTGGGGGATTTTTTTTTTTCCTGCTGTGGAAGGTGAAGCCACCTGAGAAATTAAAGTCTTAAATAATTAGTGAAAAACAAAAGACAGAGTCGGAAATATATTTTCAAAAGATGGAGCCCCGATAGATCCAGTCCACACAGGAGCTGGAGCTAGACAAAAGAAGATGGCTGCATGGTTTATTTCAGGGGGTACATCAAAGGCAGAGGTAAGGCTTCAAGAGCGGAGTCTTGCTTCCTGATGTCTTGCAGTCAGCAGGTTGATTGGCATCTTGGCAGGTCACACCCATCTCAGAGGGCCTGTGCAGCTACAGCAGGTCACCCCATCTCCCGCGCTGTGTGGGACCTGTGGCAGAGCTTGATAGGGATCACAATGAGTCAGGGCAGTCAACCAGAGGAAATGTCCACTGGTCATTCCCAGACACCAGATTCACCTATTCTATAGGCTTTGCCCACATGCTGTCCATGGATGGCTCGCAACAACCACCCCCCCCAATTAATTAAAAATTAATTCTTTAAAAATTAATTAAAAATTAAATTAATTAAAATACAATTAATTAAAATTAATCCCAAATTCACAAAACAATTTAATTTGTTACATGGTTTATTTTTGATTATGAGTAAAATTAAATTAAAATTTAGATCTCTCGTATTTATTTTATAAAATAATAAAACTTGGTACAAAGGAGTTTCTCCCAGTCTTAAATTATAACTAAATTATCAATTTATGATGAAAATAATAACTCTATCACTTCTAATCATTTTTGCCTTTTTACAAACCAAAAATATCTAAGCCTGGATTCCTTCATTTATTTGTAACCAGATAGAGAGCTGGGGGTATATATCAGTAATACAGCACTTGCCTAGGATGCATAAAGCCCTGGGTTTGATACACACATACACACAAACCTTTAGATTGATTTTCCCACCGTGGAAGTCTGAGACACCTGGAGATTTGCAGTAAACTATTTCCCTTTTGTGCTGATGACCTTTCTCCATTTGAAAAGCAGTTCCTGATTTGCTTCCGAGAGTGGGAAGAGAGATGGAGTATCTGCCATGGGACATTAATCGTGCAACGCAATCTGCTCCTCATGACTGGAGGGTATCTAAACCTTCAGGTATGAAATGTAATATGCCTAACCGTATCCATCACAAAAACAGAATGGGAAGATACAAAACCAGGTCTGAATGGTCCAACAGACACAAGTAAGATGCATAAGCAGGTGGCTTTCCCATCTCTCCCTGCCAGAGTGGTACATTTGTTATGGTTGATGAACATAAACCAGTTGTTGTGGCTCACACGTGTAATCCCAGCATCTTGGGTAGCAGAGGTAGGAGGATGGCAAGTTCAAGTCCCCGTACCTATAACCTCTTGGGAAGTTCCCCTGAACCATTATAGAAGAAAAAAAAAACATGGACCTGGCTGTGCCTACCATGCCTGTCCCAGCTAGAAGAGAACAGCTTCTCCACCACAGCCCCACTCAATGGTGGCTGCAAAGTCAGGGATGAAAGAAAATCTCTCCAGCAAGAAGGACTTCAAGCTGCATATCTAGCCTCCACTTTATCTGGAAGGAAAGATTGCCTGGGCTCATATCTACAATAACTCATAGAAAGCATCTTGCAGGTTGGCCACCCCTTGGGGACTTGAAAAATTTTTGAGAATCAGTTGGAAAGGAAGTCTGAGGGAAAAAACTATGTAAATTGTGAAAATATGAAGATGTTTGGGTCCCATGTAAATTCCCTTTAAAATACCAGGGTTTTCTAAACTCAGGGTTCCTTGGCTGTGATGCAAATCTATTTATTACACATGCAGCATCTGCACTGTCATCACCCAGTGGAACTTAGAAGAAGGGGAACCAATACAAACACAAAGCTCAGGCTGCCTGCTGGACCATTCATAATAAAGTCATTTGTCTCTGAGCCTGGAGTCTGGTGTCTTTTGTCAGCATCCATGAAACCGGGACAGGAAAACTTATTAACTTGCCTGTCAGAGCCATCTTTTTCTGGAAGAGGGAAACAAAAGAGCCTCTTTGCAGGCCTGGTTGGGAAATATGAGAGACTCCCTGCGATGTGGTGATAATGTTCTCATCCTCATCCAAGCGCTGGGTGAGTGGTGGAAAATGAGGACGTGCTAATCTTTGCTCACTGACACAGCCACACACTGCAGAGCCTGTTAACTCTCTGCCCCAAAGAGAGAAATACTATCCATGTTCCAAGTGTACTACAGGCAGAACTACTTTATACTGTTTGTTTATAGAAAACCTCTCTGTGATATTCGGATGGCAACATCCTGGTATGTGAAGGTCAAGTGGTATCCCAGGCCAAAAGAAAAAAAAAAAATGACCTCCTTACTGCAAAGAGCCTGCATTGGAAATGAGCATGGCATGTTCCATGGATAGATGAATATGGAGAATGAGGGAAAGAGGCATCAAAAATAACTCATAATGCCAGCATGGTGGCACATGCCTGTAATCCCAGTGGTTCGGGAGGCTGAGACAGGAGGCTCATGAGTTCAAAGCCAGTCTCAGCAAAGGTGAGGCACTAACAACTCAGGGAGACCCTGTCTTTAAATAAAATACAAAATAGGACTGGGAATGTGGCTCAGTGGTTGAATGCCCATGAGTTCAATCCCCGGTACCAAAAATTAAAAAATAAAAATAAATAAAAAAAGAATAACTCATGAGTTTTAGCTGAAGCAAGTAGATAGGAGATGGTGGTGCTGTTTGATACATATAATCACCAGGGAAGAATCATATTTGGACAGAAAATCAGCTCTATTTGGCTATAGTAAGTTTGAAATATCTCTCAGATATCTTTGTAAGGATGTTTTGCTAGGATTTATGAGTCTGGAGTTCTAGGGAGAAGTCAAGGCAAGAAATGGATATTTGGGAATACTTAACACTACCATTTGCCAGGCACTGTCTAATCAGTTTATGCCTATTTTCTCAGTTACACTCCCAGCAATCCCATGGGGTTGGCAATGCATTATTGCTTCATTTTAAAGATGAAGAAACAGAAAACTTTTCCAAGATCACACAGCTACAAGGGATAAGGCCAGAAGAAAAGCCTACGCAGGTTGACTCCAGAACCCGTGCATGCATGATCATCATCACCATCCTAGACTACCTGGTATAGAAATGGTATTTAAAGGCATGGGACCAGAGAATTTCACCCAGGGAAATGTATAGACAAGGAGAAAAGTATTCTGAAGTACTGCACCATGAGGGGACATTTAGTCATGTCCAACTGAATTCCCAGGCTAGATACACCAGTTATAAATTAACATATTAGCTTTTCTATTTATATTTGCTGTCTTGTATGTATGGCTGGTTTCATTCCATCTCTTTTTTTTTTCCTTTTCTTTTATTTCTTT